GTGGTGGTGTAATGGTGTGGGGGATGTTTTCTTGATGAGTCTCGATTTCTGTTGAGACATTCAAATGGTAGAGTCAGAATTTGGCGTAAACAGAATGAGAACATGGATCCATCATGCCTTGCTCAAGGGCCCACAGACATGATTAGTCTGTCCAGATCGGGCTTGAACCGGCAACCTTCTGATCAGAGGCACAATTAAATTTTAACTAGTTAAAATACCAATTTCTGGTATGAGCAGTTCAGTTTTAACTAGCTAAAATGCCAATTGTTTGTCAGAAATACAATTTTAACTAGATGAAAATCCAATTTCTGATGTCAGGAATTTATTTTGTAGCTAGTAACTGAATTCCTGAACATCAGAAATGGGAATTTTAACTAGTTCAAATTCCAACTTTCATTGAAATGAATGAGAAAAATAATAATAAAGTAAAAAATTTAAATAGCTAAAACATAGTTACTGATATGAAGAATTTGCATTCTAAACTAGTTAGATCTGAATTAGTGATATCCTCTAAAAATGAAATAAAGCTAAAACAGCCTTGTCCCGTCTGTCCCACTGTGCTATGAGAGCACGTGTACATGCACTGCATCTTAGGATCGCGGACACACTCTTGAGTTCAAATCTGAGGTCACCCATCCAGGTTGGCGCGTGGAACGTCTTGTTTCTCCGGCACGATGACCATCTTCCCCTGCTGTCAGATCCTCATAAACTCCGCGTTTCAGTGACAGCACTCTCTGAGGTATGCAGACCGGGGAGTGGCCAGATCTCTATAGGTGGGTACACCTATTACTTGCCTGTCACGCTGACAGCTGCCATACCCAGGGAGTGGCTGTTGCTGAGCCGGATCGGTTTCTTTCAATGGTGTCCGATGTCACTCCTTTCAATGAGCGAATTATGACACTCAGACTAAGGCAAAGCAAATTATTTATATAGCACAATTCAGTTCAAGGCAATTCAAAGTGCTTTACGAAGGCAGAAGACCACATTTCAACGATCTTTCGTAAGAAAGGTAGGTTTGATATAGGCCTATAAGTATTTATTATTGAGGCATCTACGGTAGGTTGGGCTTTTTTAAAAGAGGTTTGATAACTGTGATCTTAAGGGCCTTTGGGAAAAGGCCTGACTGAAGAGAACTATTGACTATTTAAAGCACATCTGATGCTATACAATTAAAAATATCCTTAAAGAACCTTGTAGGCAGAGTGTCAAGACAGCAGTAGTAGGCCTAAGGTGTTAAACAATTTCTGTGAAGGTTGCATGGTCTAGACGTTACCTAAAGCAGTGCTAGGCAGAGGCACAGACACATCGACATTTTGCCCGAGATGGAATTACACACTATGTGTCTTTTCTTTGTAATTTTATCTGTGAAAAAAAGATGCAAAGTTATTGCGTGATTTGGTGGATGACAGTTCAGGAGGATGCAGTACTGGAGGCTTGTTAGTCTATCAACAACAGTGAATACAGTGCTTGCATTATTGCTATTTTTATTAATAATCTTATAGTCAAAGTCAAAGTGAACTTTATTGTCATCTCTGCTATATACAAGTATACAGAGAGACGTGACGGTGTGACTCCCGTTCTACACAGAACAAAAGCCACGTAGAATTTGCATATATAAATACAAAAAATACACTATAAAAATATAAACTCTAAACCTAAACCTAAATAGACAAGGAAAATGTGCAAATAAATAAAAGACTGTCTTGCACTTTTTCGTTCTCAGTTATAGATGTGAAATCTCTCATCGTGGACGTCATAGTGAACAGGGAGTTTGGTATTTTAACCCCGATGGGATTTTTTCTTACCGGAGACAAGTTTGACCTTCATGGGCGCAATGGCATCAATAATGTTTATAACTTTAGAACTGAAACTGTCCACAAGATCATTGACAGCGGCTGAAGGTAGAGCTGGCGTGGGTGTAAAAGCCAGGCTACATAATGCACATGTGTTATCATTTACATAATGTTTCCGGATTATATACATTTTAACTCTGCTGATATCAGCAGCGACGGTCATTTTAAAGGAAACACAATAACGATCGGAAACCTCAGTAATTTGTACACCTTTGGGAATAATTAGGTCCAAAATATGTCCCTTATTATGTGAATCTGCAACATGCTGGGAAAGTCCAGAGTTATCCAGGATGTTAGACTGTTCTTTAGCACTGGAATCCTTATCAATATGGATGTTAAAATCACTCAGGATAACAACACCGTTATAATCAATACACATGGCATGAAAGTAATTTAACAAAGTCATCAAAAAATTGGCACTATATTTTGGAGGCCTGTAAATGGTTACTGATATTGCTCAGCAGGAGGATCTAGACTGAAGAGCAAGATATTCAAAAGAGCCAGACTTTCCATACACCTGCTTGCATTGGTAAGCATTGTTAAATAAGACAGCTACTCTACCTCCTTTCCTATGTGCTCTGTCCTCAATTATAAAAAGGAAGTTTGGAGGAGCTGATTCACTATAAAGACTGCTGCTTTATTTTTATTTAACCACATTTCAGTTAAAAAAATAAAATCAAGGTTTTTCTTGATAATAAAATCATTAATTAATAGTGATTTGCTAGCCAAGAGCCTGGTATTCAGTGAAGCCAAGTTTAATGTATTAAATGCATTGTCTGACCCAGTCTGTGGCTGGTGCATAACTGGAGTCAGATTAGATAGGATAGCTGTGCACTTTGAGGACACTTTGTTCACCCTCAAATTAGTCAAAACAGGAATGGCAAACACTGGAGCTGCTCTTTACTGCGTACTGTGGGCTGTGGGGACAGCAGTGGGTCCATACCCAATATGAGGAGAGAGACAGGGGGTAAGAGGGATGGTTGGGTACGGACCCTGTCTGTCCTGGATGTCAGCATGGCCTGTAATGCCAACAGCAGTAGGTCCATACCCAGTATGAGGAGAGCAAAGCCTTCTTTTTCCTGATTGTAACCCTTCCTGTTTTCCACCAGAGGGGTGCTGGAGACCATAGGTCAAGTTAGCAGTAAGCATATGGACCCCCACTTTGTTTAAATGAACCCCGTCTATCCTGTAATGCTTTTGTTGATTCCAGAACAGGTTTAAACTGTCCATGAAGCTCAGCTTATGAGCAATGCATTCTGAGGAAAGCCAGGGATTCAATGCCAACGGCTGAAATGTTCAATCCCTTTCCCTAAAGTGGGGATGGGGCCTGACACAAATATCTTTGC